CTGTCCTGCCTGCCTGTTTATTATCTTCCTGCATCTCCTCTCAATCCTAAAGAAAAACTGCTACCTGGGTTCATATATATTCACCTCATGAGTTACCTTTGAACTGCAGTTCTAAAACATCTACCGACCGCAAAAACAGCGGAGCGCTCGCTGTTTGGCGGCCGTATCAGTGATCGGTGCGTCGGAGGACAAGGTGATGCCCGCAGCGCCCCGCTCCACAGCATGCAGCGAAATGCATCAGGCGCAAATAAAAGACAGAAAACATTAAAGGAAATGAACTGACATGAACGATCGCGTGTTAAATTAGTTTTTGAGGTGGCGACACCTGATTGTTACTGTGGCCGTGCTCAGGAGGCAGATCTACCGACCGCGAAAACAGCTGAGCGCTCCCTGCTTGCCGGTGTTGTGCCATAAATCGACTCGCTGCCAAAAATGATTAGCCACTAAAGAAAGGAAGGGGAAAAAATCAAATCGCTGGAGAATTGTTTATTTACATTTATACAACGTTTACATTAAATACAGGGCGCCATTTTACATTGTTTATTTATTTTTTAGTATCAAGGCTGTAACATAAAGAAAGCCAGTTCTTACCACAAACCATCTTTCAATCGCAAATATTGCAAAAAGGATTAATATATCCTCACTGTGAACGTTTAAGACAAATAGCAACACTTAAAACAACTTCCGAACTGGAAAAAACTAAGCTAATCATTTTTTGGCAGTGAGTCGATTTATGGCACAACACCGGCCGCATCATGGATCTGTGCGTCGGAGGACAAGTTGATGCGCCCCGCTCCACAGCAGCGATGCACATCAGGCGCAAATAAAACACAGAAAACATTAAAGGAAATGAACCGACATGAACGATCGCGTGTCAGTAGCTACGGTCTGGCACAGCGCGTTGCTGATCACAGAGAATGTGATCATACGATAATTCAATAGGGAGCGTGGTTTCACAGACGCGGAAGTGAGAGCGTTGGTGAAACGCCGGCTGCTCTAGGAAACCCCCGAGCGTTCCAGTGTCAACGAAGTGACACGGAAATGCCGGGCTTTCCAGAAGTAAGTAAGATAACTTACTATGAGCTGATAGTTCGTTGGATTGATTGGTAGGTTGGAAACTCTGATCATGAATCTGAAGAAACGATGACAGAGTGGTGAGCTGGAAAGGCGACTTCCGTTTGGTTTATAGCCGCGGTTTGTGACGTAGGTGCGACGTGGAGGGAATCCCCGCGAGGGGCATGCTGGGAGTCCCTACTTCGCGGATTTTCACCTATCGCGGCCAGGTCTGGAACGCATCTACCGCGATAAACGAGGGATTACTGTAGTTCATACACCCCCTACTGCTGCTCTCCAGAGTGTTCTGCAGTGTAATCAGCACGTTCTCTTTGAACTTGATAGTGTAATGACCTGGCTGGGGTTGTAAGCCAGGTGCATTCTGGGTATTGTGATATATGTGTTTCCTATCGTTCTGCTAGTTCCTATGTGTTGATTTGCGTGTTGTGTGAGTGTTATGTAAGCCACAGGGAAGGTGATGTGTGTTCTGTGGAGCGGGTTGAATTAGCATGGTTAACTGACACCGTGACTCTGTGTGGTAGGAGCGTGATAGAGGATCATGTCTGTAGCGTTACAAAGCATTGAAAAAAAGCCCAATAAAGGTCTGCGTGAACCCCTACTGCCTCCTGCTGGTTGATTTGGGAACTATAACCCTGCCGCTAGGGACGCTCGTACTTGCTTGTTACCACATTCCACCCGGCCACAATAAGAGACCGGCCATTATTTACCTCTGCTGACTCTGACACCGGCCAAAATTGGAGACCCGGCCTTTAATTGAATACCGGCCTGTATTAGAGGATTTACGGTGTGTATATATATATATATATATATATATATATATATATATATATATATATATATATATATATACGTATATATATACAAGTGCTGGCCAGTAAATTAGAATATCATCAAAAGGTTGAAAATATTTCAGTAATTCCATTCAAAACGTGAAACTTGTACATTATATTCATGCAATGCACACAGACCAATGTATTTCCAATGTTCATTACATTTAAATTTGATATTCATAAGTGACAACTAATGAAAACTCCAAATTTGGTATCTCAAAAAATTAGAATATTCTGAAAAGGCTGAATATAGAAGACACCTGCTGCCACTCTAATCAGCTGATTTACTCAAAACACCTGCAAAGGCCTTTAAAAGGTCCCTCAGTCTTGTTTTGAAGGCACCACAATCATGGGGAAGACTTCTGACTTAACAGCTGTCCAAAAGACAATCATTGACACCTTGCACAAGGAGGGCAAGACACAAAAGGTGATTGCTAAAGAAGCTGGCTGTTCGCAGAGCTCTGTGTCCAAGCACATTAACAGACAGGCGAAGGGACGGAAAAAATGTGGTAGAAAAAAGTGTACAAGCTCTAGGGATAACCGCACCCTGCAGAGAATTGTGACGACAAACCCATTCAAAAATGTGGGGGAGATCCACAAAGAGTGGACTGCAGCTGGAGTCAGCGCTTCAAGAACCACCACGAGGAGACTCATGAAAGACATGGGATTCAGGTGTCGCATTCTGTGTGTCAAGCCACTCTTGAACAAGAAACAGCGCAAGAAGCGTCTCGCCTGGGCCAAGGACAAAAAGGACTGGACTGATGCTGAGTGGTCCAAAGTTATGTTTTCTGATGAAAGCAAGTTCTGCATTTCCTTTGGAAATCAAGGACCCAGAGTCTGGAGGAAGAGCGGAGAAGCACAGAATCCACGTTGCATGAGGTCCAGTGTAAAGTTTCCACCGTCAGTGATGGTGTGGGGTGCCATGTCATCTGCCGGTGTTGGCCCACTCTGTTTCCTGAGGTCCAGGGTCAATGCAGCCGTCTACCAGGAAGTTTTAGAGCACTTCATGCTTCCTGCTGCTGACCAACTTTATGGGGATGCAGACTTCACCTTTCAACAGGACTTGGCACCTGCACACAGTGCCAAAACCACCAGCACCTGGTTCAAGGACCATGGTATCCCTGTCCTTGATTGGCCAGCAAACTCGCCTGACCTTAACCCCATAGAAAATCTATGGGGTATTGTGAAGCGGAGGATGCAATACGCTAGACCCAACAATGCAGAGGAGCTGAAGACGACTATCAGAGCAACCTGGGCTCTCATAACACCTGAGCAGTGCCACAGACTGATCGAGTCCATGCCACGCCGCATTACTGCAGTTATTGAGGCAAAAGGAGCCCCGACTAAGTATTGAGTGCTATACATGCACATTCTTTTCATGTTCATTCTTTTCAGTTGGCCAACATTAGAGAAACAAACATTTTTTCATTGGCCTTTAGAATATTCTAATTTTCTGAGATACCAGATTTGATGTTTTCATTGGTTGTCACCTATAAATATCAAAATTAAACGTAATAAACATCGGAAATACATTGGTCTGTGTGCATTGCATGAATATAATGTACAAGTTTCACGTTTTGAATGGAATTACTGAAATATTTTCAACCTTTTGATGATATTCTAATTTACTGGCCAGCACTTGTATATATATATATATATGTATATATATATATATATATGTATATATATATATATATATATATATATATATATATATATATATATATATATATATATATATATATATATATATATATACATATATATATATATTATACATATATATATATATATATATATATATATATATATATATACATATATATATATGTATATATATATATATATATATATATATATATATATTATACATATATATATATATATATATATATACATATATATATATATATATATATATATATATATATACATATATATATATATATATATATATATATATATACATATACATACATATATATATATATATATATATATATATATATATATATATGTATATATGTATATATATATGTATAAATTAGAGTGCCGAAAACACAGGAGACAAACATTGTTCTTGTATGAAGAGGTTGTGGACAAGAGTTATCAATGTAAGTTAAAAAGTAAACATTGTATTTACAGTCTTTTGCATTTTTCTTTCTAAGATATGAAGTGTCGAGCGTGCATTTCCAAATTGCAGTTAAAAATGACCACCTAGTGTTGGTTGAACAAGTGTAGAAAACACTTAAGACATAAGATGAAAAGGTAAGTCAATACGATGAAAAAATACAGCAAAGATGTCCAGAGCATCATTTTGACCAGACGTTCAAAGGCACAATCCCAAATACGATGGGCCTTAGAAAACTAACACCTTGGAGAAGGGGCGGTTTTTTGTACGGCTGACATACAGCACAGGCTGAAAGTTTGGACACACTGAATGTGTTGTCTTTATTTTCATGACCATTTACATTGGGAGATTCTCACTGAAGGCATCACAACTATGAATGAACACATGTGGAGTCATGTACTTAACCAAAAAGGGTGAATTAACTGAAAACATTTTTTTATATTCTATTTGCTCCAAAATAGCCACCCTTTGCTCGGATTACTGCTTTATGCACTCTTGGCATTCTCTTGATGAGCTTCAAGAGGTAGTCACCTGAAATGGTTTTTCAACAGTCTTGAAGGAGTTCCCAGAGGTGTTTAGCACTTGTTGCCCCCTTTGTAAATGGTCATAGTCATGAAGATAAAGAAAACACATTGAATGAGAAGGTGTGTCCAACCTTTTGGCCTGTACTGTACACAAACAACCATTCACTCTCACATCCAATAACTAGGGGCAGCCTACACAGGCAAATCTTTCTAAATAAATCTGCTTGACTAACCATGGCACAGCGGTCTAATTTCTGAAATATTTTCCAAGTTTTACATTATATTATGCAGTGACTGTATTACTGTATTATTTCTACAAAATGCTACACCAGTAGTGGTGTAAATATTGATGATGCAACTGGGGGAACTGGAACAGGGCTCAGATGCCGTTGCGGCCCACTGACATCGCTCACATAACAGGCATTAAGCAGTGTGACAAAGTGAGAGTTGATACAAAACTCATGTCCTTTTTAATGGAGTATATTCTATTATTGCAGCAGTAATGAACAACATGGGGCTAGCAGCCTTAGCGATGGGTACCGAATTCGGTACTTTTTAAGGTACCGACCGAATTCCACAGTACCGACTGAGCACCGATTCACGTCATTTGAAACGGTGCCTCATTTCGGTACCCGTCCTTCACAACGAGAACTTGCCTAGACAGCTGCGCATGCGCAAGAGCGTTATGTCGTCGGTCGCTGCGAGCGAGTTGTAAACAGAGCAGCATGGTAGAAAGAAGGCACGCTAAAGCTTGGGTCCACTTCACTAAATGTGATGGGTAACTGGGTGATGATGAAACCAGCGACAACGATCTAAGTGAGACATCCTCATCTTAATCTGCTCCGGTAGGTAAATATAATGTTTACAATAACGTTAGCTTGATTTGTTAGCTTCCGTTCCACTAATGGTGCGTTCGCTTTCTCCTCGGAACTCCGAATTTCCGACTAGAAGAACATGAACGCGCTCTAAAGTTTGGCTTCACTTTACTAAATGTGACGGGTGATTGGGTGAAGATGAAACCAGTGACAACGATCTAAGTGTGAGGCATCATCGTTTTAATCTGCTCCGGCAGCTAAATAAACTGTTTAAGATAACGTTAGCTTGGTATGTTAGCTTCCATTGCCACTGTTGTTATCAGCTAATGGTGTGTTCGCTTTCTCCTCGGAAATTCTAACTTCCCAGTAGGAAAAATCAAAGAAAAAGGACGGCAAAAGGAATGAAGATACACAGTAAATTTAGTTCACAGTAAAGATGTTTGCTTCAGTTTAATTATCAGCTTATAAAACTACAAGGACGATGTTAAAATACACACAGTTGTATGTTATTTATCGTGATATTTATCAAATATGGTTATATATTGAGAAAATATATTATTATAAAAGAGAATTAAAATAATAAACACTCAAAAGTATCGAAAATTGGTACCGTTAAGTACCGGTATCGATTCCTAGGTACCGGGAATTAGTACCGAATCGATTCAAATGTCAAAGGTACCCATCCCTAAGCAGCCTAGGCATAGGCCTAACATTACATGACAGTGTTTGATTTAATCATTTATAATTTTGTCCTTTTATCTGAACCAGAGGGAACAAACATCTTCTGATTATTTATACGTAAAGAATTAAAAACAGTCGTCTTTAGGAAGGGAAACGAGAACATGTTCTCACACCCTGGGCGTGGAAAACTGACGCGGTGCGACCAAGCGTTTGTTTCTGACGCATAGGGCGCCCCTGCGCGTCGGGAGGGGACGCTCTGGCACAGCGCCCTCTAGCTGCAGTGGGTGTCACTGGCCCAGTAAGTTATTTAAAGTGGAACCAGCTGTTGGCTGGTAACTGCCAGTTTCCTGTGGGAGGCCAGGCCGTTGGCCGGTCTCACCTGAAGTGTTTGGTGGACATTTTTGGATGTTATGGGTGATTGTGTAGCCGTTTTAACGAAGGACGATTGATCTTAATCCACAGAGTTTTAGTGCAGACAACACAGTTGATTGTTGGACTGAGAGGATGTGTGCATGGAGCCGTTACATCACACAGGTAACATGGTTTAGGTATTAAATGCTTGTTGATAATTAGTGTAGTTTGTAATTAGATGTTTTATCTTCACAGTGATGCACTGCCACCTGCTGGCCTTGTTGGATTGGTTTAGAGGGTTTTCTCTGGTTGGTCTGCCTCGCCTGGAGGGCGTAATCATGCTGTGAGAGCTGGAACGCCTGCAAAGGCAGACTTTACTTCATTGTGTTAGCACTACATAACCTCTGACCCCTCACCCCTAACCTTAACCCAGTATCAGTCTAAATTTTCCGTCAAGCGTGTTTGAGAGGAACGATGAGACGCGAAACAAAGCTTTGCATGTGCAAGCTGCCTAAGGTTAGGATGGGGGTGGGGGGAAAGGTTAAATCACAAGAGGGTAAAGGTCACAATTCGCTCAAACGTCCGTTTTACCGCGGGCGTCAGATACCGACGCTCTGGCAGCGCGTCGGGGCTCTCCTCACGCGTCGGAAACAAACGCTTGGTCACACGCGTCATTTTTCGACGCTTAGGTTGTGAGGATGTGTTCCGGTTTAGAGCCTGGTCCAGTCCGTTCAGTCTTCCCAGATTCCGTGTTCGGATTTTCAGACGATTAAAATATGAATCTCGCTCAAATTTCTTATTTAATAAATTAATAATATGAAAGAAAAGAAGTCCAGCTGATTGTTTCATCGCCTGTCTGTCAGATCTTCCTGTCGTTTCCGTGACAACCTTGGTCCAGCTGTGTAGATTTTACACTGATTTGGTTTCCTGTTGAATTGTGATTCTGTCTTCTCCTAAACAGGCGTCTTCTTCGCCCTGGCCTCTGCAGGAGTAAAAAACAAAACTTATCCCTCGAACCAGGAAACGGGATGAAGTTATTCAACAGGAAATCACCCGTGAGGTCTGATCCCTTCATCCTGCTGCTCTGTGTGACA